GGGAGGAGATCCGCACCGGTGGGGCCCTGGGGCGGGGAGGGAGTCGTCGCCGCGGTGCCCAGCGCCCCCCGCCTCACGCCCGCCGGGCGGGCTGACCCCTTGGCGGCTTTCGGGCGCTGCCGAGGTGCTGCAGCTCGGCTCGGCTTCACAAAAGCCCTGGGCATGCCACGGTTTTATTCTGCAAGCCTGAGATACTGAGGGGCACGGCTGGGGTTGCAAATCTGTGGCCAACTTCCTCTAAAACTTCCTGTGAAGTTTTGCAGGTGCATTTGGGCTTCGCCAGGGGTGTACGTGCCTTGTCATTTGAGGCCAAAAGAGGTTTAAAAACTATTTCAGGATCTTTGAACAGTGACTCTGGTATAACTCAGGGTTGCTTGCACCGTCTCAGGTGGAGCGCTGTTCACAGCAGAGAGAGGCTCCCATGGAAAGAAACCCGCCCGAGAACCATCGGGGTCTTGTGGCAAAGTCAGAGCCAGGTGGCTCCTGGGGTTGTGTGGGGTTGTATGAATGTGCAATGGAATACCTGGTTCAAAAACTAGGAAGCTAATGTGATGCATTAAGCTATATGAACCAATAATAAAAGGTGGGAAAGGAAAGCCTGGACTGCTTAGTAGCAGTGCTTTAAGACTTGTGTGACAGGCACCTCTGGGGGAGGCATGATTAATACTGAACTGGCATGAACAGGAAGTTAAAAAATGGCCCTTGACTACTGTTCAGAACTGTACTTTTCCCTGAAAAATTTTCGAAGCCTGTGTCTCAAGCACTGTTTTGAAAACAGCATAAATGCTTTTGAAAACTCCTTTCTGGATATTGGGTCATATTCATATGCCGGAATGGGACAGCTTTTATTAGCAAAACAGTAGTGCATAATATATAAAAGCAGAATATTCTCCTAAATATGCCCATATTATAGAACCTTAAATTGAGCTTGTTGCTTGGGCATGCAGCAAAATGTTTTCTTTATTCAGCCAAGTTCCACAAAATATTTTATCACTCTCTGTCATTGTCAAAAACGTAATAAAACTTGGGAAAAGAGTTGTCTTGCACCTTTAAAAGAAGTTCTGAAAGTTTGCAAAGCAACGTTTTATACGGAGACTTAATGCACATCCTGGTTTTATAAATATGTTACTTTGGTAAACCTGAAGATTTTCTTTCTAGGAAGTACTGTGAAAAGTGTTTTTAATAGCTTGCAGACAACTACCAGTATCAGCCTGATAACATCTTTTTTGAAATCTGTCCTTTCTATTTTCCTATTTTATGTTTAGGTGTTGATCAGTGCATCCAGAAGTTTCTGGATGTTGCAAGACAAACTGAATGCTTTTTTCTACAAAAAAGACTGCAGCTATCGGTCCAGAAACCAGAGCAAGTAATTAAAGAGGTAGGTTTCAATTAATTTACCTGTGTTGTGCTAGATCAGGTAAGCTGTGTACCAGTACAGTTAATCACCTCATTCACATTAATTCTGGGTTTCTCAACACGATACTGTATCTTAACTTGGTAGAACTGGACTGTTAACGTAGCTCTCACCATGAACCTGGAGAAGCTGGATGCCTCTGCTCTGTGGAGTATTGGAACACAGATGATAGTTTCATTGGAAGAAACAAACTAGTTAGATTTTGCTGGAAGTAATGATCTCTGAAATATGTGACCTAGGGGAACGGAACTAGTGTATTCACAGTGCTTTCCCTCTGTTTCATTAGACACTTTTCCATTATGTCGTGGTTTAACCCCAGCTGGCAACTAAGCACCACACAGCCGCTCGCTCACTCCCCCCCGGAGGGGTGGGGGAGAGAATCAGAAGGGTGAAAGTGAGAAAACTCGTGGGTTGAGATAGACAGTTTAATAGGTAAAGCAAAAGCCACACACACAAGCAAAGCAAACCAAGGAATTCATTCACTCCTTCCCATGGGCAGGCAGGTGTTCAGCCATCCCCAGGAAAGCAGGGCTCCATCACGCATAACAGTTACTTGGGAAGACAAACGCCATCACTCCAAACGTCCCCCCCTTCCTTCTTCTTCCCCCAGCTTTATATGCTGAGCATGACGTCATACGGTGTGGACTATCCCTTTGGTCAGTTGGGGTCAGCTGTCCCAGCTGTGTCCCCTCCCAACTCCTTGTGCACCCCCAGCCTACTCGCTGGTGGGGTGGGGTGAGGAACAGAAAAGGCCTTGACTCTGTGTAAGCACTGCTCAGCAGCAATGGAAACGTCCCTGTATTATCAACACTGTTTCCAGCACAGATCCGAAACACAGCCCCTTACTAGCTACTATGGAGAAAATTAACTCTATCCCAGCCAAAACCAGCACATATTATTAGAATCCCTATAAGATCAGCTTGAAAACTCAAGCTAAAAAAACTACATGCTCTTTATGTGAAGTGGTTATTCTTATGAATACTGTCTATTTACTAATACATGTTTTTTCATCCATAGGATGTTTCAGAATTAAGAAATGAATTGCAGAGAAAAGAAGCATTAATTCAGAAACATTTGGGTAAACTGCGTCACTGGCAACAGGTCCTGGAAGATATCAGTGTACAGCACAAGAAGCCTGCAGAAATACCTCAAGGTCCATTAGCTTACCTAGAACAAGCATCTGCTAATATTCCTGCTCCAATGAAGCAAACGTGATCTTTGATTTTACATATCTGAACATTTTCAACAATGCAAAGGAGTGGTGTTAGTTTGACTTTGTATGCTTTTTGTATAATGTAATTTGTACTACAAATACGAATAGTTAAGACAATTAAGCAAAATAAATGATTTTTTTTTTTTTTTTTTTTTTTCAAAAATATGGATTGGTTTTATATTTCAACGGAAAATATGCAGAGTTGCTATTCAGGATGCTTTCTGGTAGAAGTGTGTTTTCCAGAATGCATCGTGTTCCTTCTGGAAAGGGTGGCCCTAGCTTCCCCCTAACTGTATCTTTGCTGGTAATGAGTTAGCTAGCATGATCTGATAAATGTAGTCACTCACCCACTTTGCATTTAGGTGGGCATAAGAACAATATTGAGATAAAATGTACAAGTACACAGTTCCCATAAATCTGGAACTCTGAGTGTATCAGTCTGACTCACACTTCGGCATAACATAGCACTATTTTGGAAAACATAGAAATGGATGATTTACAAGCAAGTTTTAATGTTCATACTTGCATATTATCCTAATTTATCAGGCTGATTGTTACACGTATTGAAGTGCAACAGGAATATTATATTGCAATGCCGACTACACAAAACAGTTTATTAAGCAAACCAGAAAGTATTTCTAAACCAGCCTGCTATAAACATGCTATTGGAGGTATACTGCATGCTGTACAGCTTAAAATAAGTTTAACAAAAAACTATTAAAAACTTAAAAAATTACATTATTATATACAGAAATTATTTTAAACAGCTGATAAAGCAAATGTATAAACCTACAGAAATCACCTACAGAAGTAAGATCTTTTTTCAGCTGGAGCCAGATTGATAGGACGTATCGGAGACCAAACTGCGTATTTAATGCAATTGCGGAGTGGTGCAGTCTCTTGATTAAAAAGTCTCTCCACATAACAGTTTCCAGAATTTTGCTTTTTCTTCATTTTTTACAGAGGTTGTTAAAAAAAAAATGCATTTTTCTGAAATCCACGCCTATAACTCCATAGTAATTAACATGTAAGAGAGTGCAGTTGTTCCTAATTATTTACTTGGAAATTACATCTTATCTTTTTTTTTTCCTAAATCATATTGGATTATCATTCCCTAAAAGAAAACGGGAAGAGCTTTTCTAGTGATTCTGAGAAGTATGGAAATAGTTTGCTTTAAAATGAAAAATATTTAGTAAACCATTCTTGATGCTGAGGGTCTTGGTTTTGGTCATCTTTGGTTTGTGGTGGTTCATTGCCATGTGTCCTGTGCAAACAAATAAGCATTAGCATCACTTACTTACAATCTTATCAATATCTAATACTTTTTTCCTGGAAAAACTCATGATCTTATGAATGGATCTGTGCTCACATGAACTGGATGAGGCCAAAAGGTGCCAGCTACAATTCCTAGTAGGTTCTGTACTAGCCAGGTAACTGGGCTAACAGCACTGGTAGTAACACAAAGGAAGGCGTGAAGGAGAGCTAAACAGCTATGGAGAGATGTTTGAACGTAATTCTTAACCTGACATCTCAAAAAATAAACAAAAGGATGCTTCAAGAATATGAAGTCTTGAAAATCAGAAAAACAGCAGCTGCAATTCACTCTTAAAAATATGAAATACAATTTAGGCATTAAAAATGTTGGGTAAAGGTTTTATTTGGAACTGAAAGATTTATCTGAATATTATCTGGCTTTTATAATCAATTCTATTACATAGTCCATGATTTTTCAGCATTCAGGATGCTTTTTTAACATTTATATTAATTTTGGTTAGCTTATAGTAGCAAATATGACTTCACTTATGATTGATTGATTTAAAAGAGTAAGTAAGTAGTGGCCAAGCTACCCTCAGTCTCCCTGTACATTTCGCTTTAAAATACAAATCTGATTTGATTTGGCAGTCATCTGGCATGATACAGAATGCTTTTATCTTTTAAGATGTAGGAATGCTTTTATCTTTAAGATGTAGGAATTGCCAAATTGGATCCAAGCCCATGTCCCAGGTTATTGTCTTTGGCAGCAGTCAGCACCATCTGCCTTCAAGGAAAGAACTCTGTAGCACACAATTTACAGGACAACTGATCTCCACTAAGAGCTAGGTGAGAAGGCTGGCTTTCATCCTGAAGTATAGTGGTAATGGGTTTGTTTTTAATATGTACCATTATAATTATAATGTTAACTACATAAATTTTTAACTATTTCTTGGTATCTACATCTACCAAGTGCAAAGTGAAGAAACAAAAGTAAGAAGGAAAACCACATCCTTAACAGAACCACTGATAACGTGCCTAAAGTTTTAAGCAGCCATGTTCACTACTAACTACATTCTTAGTTAAATACTTGCAACTCCTCTCTTTTTTTGTACCAGGAGGGGTTGCAATCATAAGCTCTGGGGGGCAGTGATTATAGCCTACTTGGGCAGTAAAGTGCTTTGTCTATCTGCAGAGAATTGAACATGTGGAGTTCACGACAGGAACCTTATGTCATTGTTTATTTCCGAATGTCTAATATGTTTGAATGCCTACAAGATTCTGAATACCAATTCATTTATCATCTTACAAGTCACTGCAAAATGGACGAATACCTTGTGGCAGCACTGCTGTCTGAGGACTGTGCTGATGGAGAGCCCACCCTGAGGCAGCCAGGACTCCGGTCTAAGCTTGTAGATTTTGTTATTTGAGGAGCACTTCTTTTTGATCTCAAGTCACAGCTCAAAAAGCTCTTTGCATAGGAAGCTAAATTCGGAACACTGACAACACGACTGGGCACCTCGACCGTTTTCTTCTGCTGCTTTTTATTGTAAGAGAAAACTTCATTACACGCGCATTTTTTTTTTTACACTTTCTACTATAAAACCTCAACAATACCTCATTCCTAGATATCTTGTGAGGAGCACCCAAAAATGAAGATTCTCATCTTTTTCTACAGGCATTTAAAATAAATTCTCAGGGTATGCTGTGAGGATCCATGGATTAGGTAGTCCAATTAAAACAACTTGTGTATTTGACCTTGAGGTTTTAGATACATCAAAGCCAATAGCTTTGCAGAGCTCAGCTAGGTGCTTTCCACCAACTTGACCTCCCTTCTTTCCATGACTATTTATAGACAGTATCATACAGAGGGGCTGGAATGACAAAGAGCAAATCCTGAGCAGCCCAAACACAATTCATAATTTTCCTTGCAATATCCCAAATAGCAACTCCCAAATCTGCGAGCAGCTCCCAAATCTGTGAGCAATGGCCGTGCTTATCCCAGTGGAAGACTGACGTCTTTGGAGTTCCAGTGTTTTGTATTTGCTTAAACACCTGTATCTATGTGCATATATACTTCTACTGAATTCATGTTCTACTCAGCACCTGACTGTAGGTTGGCTTACTGGAAAGAACTCTACTGAGTAACATTACCATAAAAAATTAATAGGACATTTATTGTCCTGATCATCTGTATAATTCAAATAGCAATAAAACATGACGATTTGTGATTTCAATTGCATTGCCCGTCTTTCTTACCTTCATGGAAGAAGTCGAGCATCCTGTATTAGGGTTGAAAGAAAATGATCGATTCCTGTGAGATTCAGTGTTAGCTAAAAGTGAATGCTGAAATTTTCTTCCTTCCTAAGGGGAAAGAAAGTTACATGTATGGAAAGACCTATTTGTTGGAAGTTGGTATGGAAACATATATTTGTCAAATTATTCCAGAACAGAAAGAAAGAATCAGTCTGAAGCAATGTGTGAAACACTGAATAGTGTTTCCAACAGATTCCAAAATATATATGTACATACAAAAGGAAATCTTACCGCCAGCTGCTTGATAATCTCTTCTCTCTCACTTAATTTGTCTTGCAGACAGCTTATAAGGTGTGTATCTTCTGATCTGGACACCCACTTTCTTGACTTTGCTTCTAATTCTTTAAGTCTGTACCAAAGAAAATGCAGATCGGAAAAAACTTCCTCAGACCAGGTTCAAGAGGTACTTGGGCTGTGCTCTGCCCTAAATTCCAAGCCTAAAATACAGGGACATAGTCAGGCCTTTCTGATAAAACAGCATTTTTTTAAAAATGGGCATCTGTACATGGATTACATATAAGTATAGAATGTTGTGGAGTTCCAAAAGAAATTGCCACCAGGGCTAACCCACAACACCTGGCCAGTGTAAAATCCAGCCCCTGGTATAAAATACTAACAAGCCTGCACATCATACTGCTAGTCTAGTTTCCTGAAGAAAAAAATCTGTGTCATAGTATCTATGCATGTCTGTATTCATCTATTTGTTCTCTTTTCTGACCCAATAACTTTAGAAACCACAGACTAATTCCAACCATATCTGATAGAGGCCTCAGAAATACTCAATTCCTATAAATTTCATAAAAAGACAGGATTGGATATACATGCTGCTTTAGTGAACCCTCTAAGTCAAAACCTGTAGTGTGAGTTCAGCTCTTTAAATGCCTTAATCAGCGGAAAAGATTCAAATGAGAACTTACACCTTCTTAGAGATGGTGTGGAAACATACATTTGATTGACCCATGAGAAAACAAGTCATTACTTCATCAGCCAAGTTCATGAATTTTGCTGCTTGAGAAACTGAGTGCTATGAAGTTCACCTGCCATACTGAGAAATGTATTACAGAATACAAACCACCATTTTGTGGCTTTTTTTGGTGAGGGTAAACATTTTTGAGAGGATCCCCCCCCCAATCTTAATTTAGTGTATCTCACAGTTTAGATAAAAAGATAAATCTTAACATCTGAATGGTTTGAGACCTGCTTACATGCAAGTAGGTCTCTCTTCTGGACCTATGCCGCACAGTTGGGATAAGAGAAAAGGACAAGGGATATATATAATCACAGAGATTATTTCTGAGGGGCCTCTCCTGCACAGTCTGAAGCACCACAGAGCTACTTAACTCCACAGGGGGCTGCAAAGTGCATTTATTTACATGAGTTAGTTGGGGCTGTCCTGGGAAATTTGCAAGGGAGTGAGAATGAGAGAGCTTAACCTCAAAGATGCCACTCTGCTGAACAAAATTAAGTACAAGATCATGGATCACGGCCTCTGGTATCATCTGTGACAAAGATGATTTTACACTTCATAAAATTGCAAGATGCTAAGTGCAAGTTTTAATTTAGCATTGTAAAACTGTATGTATAGTGCTTTACATCAAATGATATTCAGAGTTTATTACAATATATCTGGGTCTTTTTGTGTTTGCAAAGGAAATACCTATACACTTCTATTTCAGTGCTTATAATATCCTACCTATGAGTAATAAAAAAAATATACATACTAAGAATAATAATTTCAAACAGAACTCATTGCCAGTATGAGCCAGATTTTATTTAAATGACTTACTCAGTTTCTAAGAAGAAAATCTTTGCTTGGAGATGTGCCCGAGTGCTGCTGAAATCAGATAACATGTTTTCGATTTCTTTCCGGTGATCTTGTTTCAGTATGTCCAGTTCTTTTTTATGCTTGATATTGAGGTCTTCTACCAGTAGCCTTTCATTGGTATTAAAATATGTCTGAATTCTCAAGTTTCAATACTAGTTTATTATCATTGATCAAAGCATGCAGTTTTGAGGTATTTTATTGACTACAAAGGTAGTTAACTGGGTGCAGCTCTGGACTTCTGCTTACTGATTTGACTTTGACACTTCAGTTGCAATTTGAAGCAAAACCACACTAACACTGAGGAAGAGGAAAATTATTTGGAGACCTTCAGCCTTCGAGAAACGGAAAGTCTATTCTATATAATGATGCTATTGATACTCTGTCTATGGTTAGTTTGTACATCAATCTTAATGGTCAAACATGACAATAAAGTACCATAGGAACTCACTTGTATTAAGCAAAATTATTTTGAAATCTCTGGGATTTCAACATGATGCTCTAATGCTGTATTTCATCACATTATGGCACCAGAAACATTTAATACTGCCTACCACCATCCTAAAAATATATTTTTTTTAAAGTGAAGGTAAGAAATGTTATAACAATGCCTTTAACTACAACATTTGTCTTTAACAGACAATATATTTTGAAAGATACTGCTATTTGATTAACGCCGTCAATTGAAAACTAAAAAATGCCTAACATTTTTTCAAGCCTAGCCGTAACATTGCTTTCTGATAGAAACCCCAAAACCAATAGACATCTATTGAAGAATCATTGTTAGCTTCTTGCCTTTTGTTTGCTAATGTTTTGTTAAACCTTGGAGAAATTTTTTCATTAGCTCAATGCAGAGCCCATGTTCTGTTGTTTACTGATTAAAATAGAGGTGTCAAACTCAGGAGATTAACAATTGTAATTTTCACAAAAGATATTCAGTTTACCTTTTTTTCTTTCTCTTTAATGTATTTCTAAGCCCCTTTTCACTTGTTTCTGAAATGCTTCAGGAAAGGCCCATGAAAGGTTTCTGCCTTGAAATTAGAGCGCAGCCATGGGAGTGATTGATTTAGCACTTGGCACAAAATGAGAAGCAGGAGAGTAAGAGTAAAAAATGGGAGCAGAATCCCTGAAATGGATCTTCAGTGGTAGAATAAAAGCTCTCCTTCAGAACTGCTGTTTTGGGATTTTTCCTCTCTTCCCACAAAAAAAAAAACTTTGTCTGCTCTCATCCTAGTCCTTGCAAAAGGTTTCTGTACTGGAGGTGGAATTCACACAACTCAAGAGAATGGGAATGATTACTTCAAGTGGATTACTGGTTTCATTTACTTGGCAACAGTAGGAATAGTAATTTTAAATAATTAGTTATAAAAATCTGGCACATGCAAATAACAAGCCACTATCAGCTTTCAAATCAGAAAGAACTATATTGCATAAGACAAGGTCACTGTTGTCAAAGTAACAGTAAAAAAGATGTTATTTATATGCACTCACCAATTTAACTATTCCCCTACCCAAATTATTGGTCCTGCAAAAGCAAAACAAGAGCTGCAAGTTAATGTTGCAGATCTTCCATGGGTTAATTTCAGTGCAGCCTGTATCAGGCGCCTAGGACCATTTGAGCTCTTTGGTTCTACCTCCTGTTATTTGAAGGATTTCTCCTTATATAATTTCCATTAATGCTTCCTTCTCACATGCTTACTGTAGTAGAGCTACACCATCTATCCCCTGTAAAGATTATCCTCCAGCCCAGCAGCTTTAGCATTTGAGGCCTTTTAGACCTCATCACTGACATGTGAATAATTCTTCCCTTCATGAACAGAGGCTTTAAATTCCTTCAAGATAGCTGGAGGGCACTGATGAAACTCTCTGGTTTGCAATTCTTTCTGTTGATCTTGCTTCAAAAGCTTGAAATGAAAGTCACTTCCAAGTAACTCTCCAGATAATGCAAAGGAGGAAAAAAAAAGTTTCTTTCTCATTCTTTAAATACCTACTCACTGGTAGACAGCAACGGAATTACTCTGGCCGCTCTGACAGTCTGCCGAGAGACACTATATCCCTTGAGTGCTTTTCTCTAGACTATATAGGACATAATTTTAAAGATTCCTTTAAGGGTATACTCTTCAGAAATCCTTTTATATATACAGCTTGAGTAGTTGGGGCATACATTCTACGCCATTGCAGCAATGAATTGAAAGGTACCCATGCACCAGACCCCTCAATCTCTCCACAAAGAGAACACGTAGTATGATCATCCAGAAATTTCAAAGGATTCACCAGCCACACAAATGCACTGGACAGTGAACCCCAGTCTTGTCTCTCATGTAAAAGGTAAGTCAAGTCCTGCACTATTTCTGTACGCAAATGGGAAGACTGCTATTACTGCAATGCAACATGAGCCTGTGGCTACACTAAGAGGATGCAGTCCACCTTCTACAGAGACAGCCAAAACTACAAGTCAGCTTGCCCTTCCTATGCCCTGACAGTGTATTACAGCTCCAGGCTTCCACCAGTCCAGAGGCACTGTCAGTATCTGCTGTCACTGCCCTTACTCCCCCAGGGCAAAGCTGGCTGTTACAGCCAACGCAGTCTCACAGAGTACATACGGCATTCTCAAGTCTCCCCTTTAGAGTTAACAATCCATTGGTTTCAGCTACAGAGAGTACGTTTAAAAAACTGATACTTAGTCTCAGGGACTTCTACATTTTTTTAATAGCTCTTGGGTGAGTTTGGTATTTGTTTATGTCTTACAGTGCCTTTCAAAGGCTGACGTTACACAGATTTTCTCAGGTCCCTCCTCTGGGGCTACACTGGACATATTTCTCCGTGACATATAATGAACAGTTAGTTCAAAAGCTTTTATTATGGCTGGAGAGAAATGTGAAATGAACTACTGCTTTTGCAAAACTCCTAACCTCTAAAATCAGTACTTTAGAAAGGAGAGATTCTGACACTCATCACATTTAGAACACCTCTGATGCTGGCATTATTATTGACTCTCCAGATAGCACCGTGAAGTGTGAATTTAAGGCAAACCTTCTGTGCTGTTTCTCCCTATCCTGAAGCTGTGCAGCCTCTTGCTTCTGTGACTCCAACTCAGCACTGAGTAGCTTCATTGTGTCCTTTAGAAGTAAATTCTCTTTCTTGAGTTTGGAAATTTCATTCTGACATTTTTCCAGTTCATCATGAAGAGATCTGATCTGGCTCTGGCTACTTCCTTCCTAAGAAAAAGGCCAAATTTAGTTATTCACAGCCTCTAATTATTTAACACGAAGAGCTCACTGGAATTGTGTGCACTGAATTTTTGTGAACTGATTTTTCAATTATATGTGCAAGACAAAATCTGTGATCAAAACTTCCTGAACATATTTTATAGTCCCCATAAAATTTATTTTATTGTAACATCCATTCATTTACTTGTGTTGTCGATTCTGATCTTTCAATGGGAAAAAAGCCTGCCCATAGGGAAAAGATGGTAAACAATGCTAACATTTTAAAGTGTGACATAAGGGAAGGAAACCCATTCCATTTCTGTAAGAGATTCTGTACACTTCTATTATCTCTGGAGAGAGAAATTTGATACTATTGCTTTCGCAAAACACAACATGGCAACGAAGTAGGAACTGGATTCTTGCCTGATGCTTCTTCAGTGTCCTCACACTCCTCAGCTCCATTTGGAGTTCTTCTATTTGTTTCTTGAGATTAGTGCACGATGTCTGTTGCTCAGAGAGTTCCATCCTTAGAGATCCTAGTAACAATCAGACAGACAATCATTAAGGCAGTCAGAGGCCAGCTGGATGGGGAAGGTAGATATAGACAATGTAGATGAAAACATTAATACATTACATTTTGCTTTGTTCCTCAACTCCTTCGCCATTAAGTATAATGGCCTCCTATTGCTAGAGAAGTAACTCAGTTGAGCAATAGTAAGAAGATATGGAGCTACAATAGCAATGATTCAACATTGGAATCAGAGAGGTAATTCTGTGGCAGTTGTTTTGCAAACTAAATCACTGTAATTGCTTCTTCTAACCTTGAACTTTACTGGAGCACCCCTGAGCTTCCCTGTTAAGTCCACTGGTGTTTTATAGGGGGCCATAAGGCAGACTGAGGGGAGCTCTGGCTGTGTTAGAGAACTACAACACTTATGTAAGCAGATCTGTCATATACTGCAACTTTTGTGTATATTGGGTACAAGTTTCGGGACGGATCAAGTACAAGGAGAAAGAAGTTTTTCTCTCTCTCTATTGTCTCCCTACAATTTTTCTTGAAGAACAGAATTTATCTATTTAACATATAAACTTTAGAGAGCAACAAATCTTTCTAGCAAATTTGAATAACTGAAAAAAAGGCCAAGAAGAGCATCCAGTTTGTACTTAAAAGTACTTTCAAATTATTCTTTCTTTAATTAAAAAACCTTTTATAGATGAGCTTTAATAACCTGAGTTTGAACCCACAGGTATTACAGGTCCTCCTAATGCAGTGTTCTGTTTAGTTATGAACAGTTTAGGGAACTTTCTAAACAATATGTATGGAGCAACTGATCTCCACTGCTGAACTCAATAGAACAGACTTGAACCACATATAATAATTCTTCAAATCATAGAAAAAAATAGGAAAGTCATATACACTAACTACAATATTCCAATTTAATACACCTGATAATGCACACTTGAATGTTGTACACCAGACTACTCTCCCAGCAACATTCTGCTGCTGACAGTTGAGAGCTACGTTAACAAAGAATATTAAGTCTGAATTGCTGAAATTGCAGGGTATGGACAAGGAGATTCAGAAAGGCTGGAGTTCCCAGAAGATGAAAGAAAATGAATGGGAGGAAAGTCAGTGCTTCTCAGCATATAATCAAGCAGTAGGAGCTGTGCATGACATGAGACATTATACCTAGCAACACGGTTTGCTGCTTCTGTATCTGCTCGAGTTCATCATGTAATTCTTTCTTTGCTTTCTCTTCCAAGGTTTGCATTTCCAGCCTATGAGACTGATGTTGGATCTTGAAAGTCTCATTAAATTCCTTTTTCAAACGTTCTTCTGCCTCCTGTAAGCAAAAGCCCCCCCCCCGCAAAACAAAGTAGTTGGAGCCTATTTATCACTTTGTTGTTTTACTTGTAATGCCAGGATGAATCTGGTCTTTCATTGCAGAACTTCTATTTTCATCACCACTTTTCATGACACTTCTTCAACACAAGAATAAAAATGAGCTGAAGTTAAAAAATAAAACTTAATAGGGACAAGAGAAGTTATCAAGATATCATCTATTAAATTTATATCACGAAATAACAACACTGACATCTTTGCACTATTTGGCATTAGAAAGATGTTTTATTATTCAACATACAAAGCCCCCCAGATTTGACTTGTATGTCATTACTTATCACAGCGTGTCAGACAAAGGCTTCTATCTTTCCTTGTATCATTCTTGGCTAAAACTTCCACTGTCATTAGAAGTGCTGCTGATACACTCCAAGTGACAGAGTAGTTGCTCCATAGTGACTCTGAAAGCAATCCCCCATCCTCAGTTTCATTTTTACGACCTTACTGCCTTCAGCTTGGTTTTGTTAAAGCTGGGATTTATTCTGAATATATAAACAAGATATTAAATTCTACTTAGGGTGGTTTTACTACATATGTTTTACAAGCAGGTTTTCCCTAAGGTGTGTGATATCAACAGGGACATCTGAACTCTATGTCACAATCACGTGTAGATTTTTTAAGTTGATTTTTTTTCTCAAACAGCAACATTCTTTAGAACCTCAATATATTGTGTTAACATTTTGCCACTGAAATAAATCCCCTTGAAGCTTTAAAAGCTTTGGTTATCCCCTTACTGAATTGATTTCTTGAAGGTATCTAAAGCAATACACATCATTATACATGTCTATTGCACTTCTTTTAAAGTATTTATGTATAAATTACTAATGGATGAAAAAGAATAAATCTGAGTCCTGTTACTAGGAATTCCTACACTTAGGAATTCCCTTGTATTTCTGAAGCAAGAGCACAGCTAGAGGAGCTTGTATTCACTGCAGCCTAACTGTAGAGGGTAGGCTATGTTATTTTATGAAACTATTTCATTCACACTGTGGTCAAAGTTCAAATGTTAAAATTAAAAAAAAAAAAACCTGAAGATGATGTTTCAAAATCACAGAATAATTCATTATGTGCAGCAATGGCAACCCCTCATTAAGATAACCAGAGATAACTGAGTTTTGATAATCGGCTCTAGCTAATATGGTTTATCCCACAAATACAATTTTTTTTTACATTGTATGTCCTGAGTTTGAACTGACCTTGAGTTCCTGATTTTTGCTTTTCTCCAACATTTTCAAGACTTTTTGATGTGATGCCTCCAGCTGCAGTTTAACACTCTGGTTTTCTTTAATGGTGTTTTGAAGATCCTGCAAAAGCTTCTCTTTTTCTTTGTTGGACTGTAGATTATGTTTCTTCAGTGACTCCTTGAAATTATTTGCTTGTTGATCTAATATTTGCTTCAGCTGAGTCACCTTCCAGAAAAGTAAGTCAGCAGGATAGGATTAATGGCTGCATTCACAATGGAGAGGAATTATGTAAATTTGAATACATTTTATCAACTTGTGTTGCTCTATGAGCAATAGCAAGATGCTTGTTTCATGCAAGAAGCCCTTTTTTCAGTGAAGAATGACATCCCTTTTGAATATACTGTCTGTTGCCCATCAAGTACTTTTCTTAAATTATTTCTTTTCAAATCGTCTCCATCATACATACAATCCATAGTTCAACTTGCACAATAATTATGGCACACACCAGGAGGCAGGCCTAAGGCCATGCTTATCGTCATCCTGGAGATGTAACACTGCAGAGTCCATTTATATAAAGCAGTAGCTTAGAACCAACAGAAACAAGAATTCTGCACATCATGCTTCAGATTTGTTTTATTTTCTCCCCTCTCTTAGCTTAATTGCAAAATACAGTAGGCGTCTATAATGGCTGACACAAAAGTAACAAAAAAATATCTGGGCATCTCTTGCTGGCCCTGGCATCAAACTGGTAGCAGTGGCATGGATTGAGGTTCCCCTCCCCCAGCAACTTTAGTTTAAAGCCCTCTTCACCAGCTTGGCAAGTCTATGACCGAAGATGCTCTTCCCCTTCTCTGACAGAGGAACCCCATCAGCCTCAAGTAAACCAGGTTTCTCAAAGTGAGTCCCATGGTCTAAGTAGCCAAAGTTCTAAGTTCCTGGGGTCTCAACTCCTTTTGGAGAAAGAACATTCTGTACTCTCACTTTATGACCACAACCTTCAACTACATTGTACCTTGACTTGTCTTCACTTCTAGTCCCAATTTCTGCTTTTAACATTCCCTGGCATCTGCTCCCTTCTCTCTAGAATTTATACAGGTCTTTATGTCCCAGAAATGAATCCTGATATTAAAGAAGAAAAATGAATGTGAACCTTTTTTTGGGGGGGAGACACCCACAGCTTAGAAAGAATTATTTCTACTTGATCAGTCTGTCCTATTTTAATTGTTTTTTCTACAGAGTGACTAAAGAAAGGCCTGAAAACATTGTAAAAACTTGCTCTATTTGGTCTGTTGGTAGTTTATCATTTTGAGTAAAAAGTTTGTGTTCACAAAATATCAGATGAAGATGGTTTATTTCTATGTAAGCACGATTCCTGTGAAACATGAATGTTCATGAACTTCATGTGCTGTGGAGATAACTCAAAACCTGTTACTTAAACACACATGTCTCATAAGAACTACATAACTTCCTTTACTACATCTGGTTTCTTTATCTCTGTAAGCAGCTACAAGAAAGAATTGCTATTCCATTTTTGAGAGAACTGCTGTTCCTATACAGAAGTCAGTATACTGTGTTCCTTGCATTTAAATAGAGTTTGTCCTTCACTTCAAATCCACAAGTCAGGTTTCTTTTCTGCAGTTGATTGGTGGTGGTCATTATTGATCACCACTGATCTTGTACTTCAGTTTCTCTCTGAAGCCCTTCCAACGGCTTGCTCACAAAGGGCCATACTGCTATTATAATTAAGGTGGATTTCCTTTACCAGATGGGTTAGCTGTTTAGTTTATTACATCAGTTTATTATTGATGTTTCACATGTTCTGAGATCTACAACAGCATCTGTAATTCAGACATGACAGAAGTCTGCAAGCAGAGATGAACCTTGTTAAAAAACTCTTTAGCAAAGCTACCAGCTTGGGCAGTTGACTTTCTCCTATTTGGTGGCCAAACCAAGCAATCAATAAAACCTCTAGTCAAATCAATCCAAAGGAAACATTTTTGAATGTACAAGTCTGTCCTGATTTCAGCTGGGATAGAGTTAATTTTCATCCTAGTAGCTAGTACAGCGCTGTGTTTTGGATTTAGGATGAGAACAATGTTGATAACACACTGATGTTTTAGTTGTTGCTACGTAGTGCTTACACTAGTCAAGGACTTTTCAGCTTCCCATGCTCTACCGACTGAGAAGGCTGGAGGTGCACAAGAAGATGGGAGGGGGCACAGCCAGGACAGCTGACCCAAACTGGCCAAAGGGACATTCCATACCACGTGACGTCATGCTCAATATATAAACTGGGGGAAAGCTGGCCAGAGGGGCCGCTGCTCGGGGACTGGCTGGGTATCAGTCAGCGGGGTGTAAGCAATTGCATTGTGCATCACTTGCTTTGTATACTCTTTTATTAATTATTATTATTACTACTATTTTATTTCAATTGTTAAACTGTTCTTAACTCAGTCCATGGGTTTTCTCACTTTTACTCTTCTGATTCTCTCCCCATCCCACCAGGGGGGGATGGGGAGGGAGAGCGAGCAAGCAGCTGTGTGGTGCTCAGTTTCCAGCTGAGGTTAAACCACAACAACATCAAAATGAAAAATTAAAATATTTCCTCCAGACTGAATTCAATTATTTTTAAAACTTAAATTATTTCATCATTTGCAAGGAGACAAATGGCTTTGTTCACAGAACACAGGGGAAGAAGAGATGGCAGCAGTGGTTCTGCTTTGTGTGTGTGAGAGAGAGAAAGGAAGCACAGAGGCGCAGAAAAACTAAGAGAGCAATAGAGTATGTGCGTGTGCATATGAAGGTAACTGGGACACTTATCCAAGTGATGAAGGCCTAGGTTGTCCAATGACAACTTAATATACAAGTGAAGAAGCAGCAACAGGTGACACGCTGTAGCTCGCCCTGTTTTATCCTATAACCCAGCGACAAGGGAACTCTTTAAATGGTGAGCAATCTGACCGAAGGAAAAAAAAATAACCACCTAGGTCTCCCACACATCATGGGAATGCTAGGTTGGTAGATAAGAAGAAAACAAACATTCCTTCACCCAGTGTTTTGTGGATCAAGTTTTTTATTTTGTTCTCTTTTAAGTGCTAGAAAATGAAAGATTAGTTTTACTGCTTCTTAAACAATTTCAAACCAACATGGTACATTTGAATTTCATTGAAGCTATACAACCAAATTGATTTGAGCTAGCAAATTTGAAAAAGCACCTATCTTCAGCTGCCCCAACCTGTGAGTTTAAGTTAACTAATCAACCAGTTGTTTCTTGGCTTTTTCCTTTGTGTCATCCAATTAAGCACAAAGAAAACTATCTGTCTGAACAAACTAGTGAAGAATAATTGCTAAACGTTATTCTTAATGAAAAACATTAATTGTCTTTAATGTGTCTGTGTGATGGGATCTATCTGTGGCCTGGATAAACTCCAAGAACAGGCAGATGCCAGAGCCACTTGCCAATCATACCTTTGTTTCCAGAGGTGCTGCAATTTTTATTTTTTTTTTTAAAGTGGTAAATCATAAGATTTAACTAAATGGGCACTTTGGCTCCTGGTTACTGGTAAAACATTTACGTTGTCTTAATGCCTATTGAACTCAAGCCAATGTTTTGCTATATAAAGAAAGGAAACACTGAAGTTTTTAAGTACTGCAGTTCCTTATAAAACTAACCTTTGATGTGAAACACTTAATGCTGTACAGTCCCCTGTATCAGCTGATGTAATATGCAGTAGCATTACTACACTCAAGCATGCATTTTTTCTCTGGGCTTCCTGAAAGTAAGCCAGTGAGTAAAAAAGATGTGCCAGAAGAGTAGGCTGTATATTTTCTAATAGAAAAATTGCAAACAGGAAAAATGTCACTTTGAATATCTTTTGCAAATTAAATATTCATCTAGGTGGGGAAGATGAAAAGAAGCATATATAAACTTCAGCTGTGGTCACAACATTATTGACCTTCCAGACTCTCTTCATAGACAATTATTGGTTCAAAGCACTACTAGCATGAAACATAAGATCATACTAACTAGAAATAGGCTAAGCAGTGAATTGGTAGCAACATGTAGTAAGAAATCAGATGGAAAAGTATTTCTAAAAACATTATTTTTCAGTGATTTAGGGAAAAAAGACCTACACAAAAATATCAGGGTGTCCTGGTTTCGGCAGGGATAGAGTTAATTTCCTTCCTAGGAGCTGGTATAGTGCTGTGCTTTGTGTTTTGGATTTAGGATGAGAATAATGTTGATAACACGCAGATGTTTTAGTTGTTGCTAGGTAGTGCTTACACTAGCCAAGGACTTTTTAGTTTTCCATGCTCTACCGACTGAGAAGGCTGGAGGTGCACAAGAAGCTGGGAGGGGGCACAGCCAGGACAGCTGATGCAAACCGGCCAAAGGGATATTCCATACCATGGGACATCATGCTCAGTACATAAACTGGGGGAAGCTGGCCGGGGGGGCCGCTGCTCGGGGACTGGCTGGGCATCGGTCAGCGGGTGGTGAGCAATTGTACTGTGCATCACTTGCTTTGTGTATTATTATTATTATCATCATCATCATATTATTATCATTTTATTTCAATTATTAAACTGTTTTTATCGCACTGCCTTATGCAGCCAAGGAAGCTATTTTTAGATCTGAAAGTGTATCCAGGTTAGAATTGGATTAGTAACAGCACATTGCCTAACCTTTGAGGCAGAAGTGCTGAGCTGAGCCATTGCAAAGGTTCCCAGATGGGAATCATGCCCTCAGTGAAACATAATGTTGTACACTAAATGGCTCTGAATATTCACATATTTATAGAAAGAAAGTATTGTAAGTTGAAATTACTTCACTTCCCTGGCAATACTGCCCAGTAATTGTTTTGGAAAGTAACTTTTAGAGTACCAAGCAAAATGCAAAATTTCTCTTCAGAGGGAGCATTTCCTCCCTTTTGGGAGCATTGTTAGATTCTAAGATATTTTCCTGTCCTGAATGTGTGACTTCAGGAAAAGTAATTTGATGACTCACTGCCTCACTTTTTCTATCTGCAAAACCTGAACAATAATTGCTTTGTGTCATAAGCCTTCTTATTTCTTTGAGACCTTTCAGTGGAATACACCACCTGCATGCATATACACAATTACTATGAGATCAGACAGTGTGCCACTACTCCTCCCTTCCATCTCTTCCCCTCACACCTCAAACCAGTATAACTTTCAGGCATTACCCAGGGATGCCAGAATGTCATGGTAAATTTTCAGCTTTGAATGGACTAAGATGTTTTTGTAGAAATATGTACATTTAGGGGAATTTGGAAAAGAATAAAGATGACCATTTCTGACAACCCATGTTTTGCATTAGGTGCAAAGAAGTCACTCTGGATAGGTCAACAAGGATTGACCTGAAATTCTCTCAGAGAAGAACCTGTAGAAAACGGTGGCATGCAGAAATGTGTAATGAAACCTAAAACCAGGATTTAGCCAGAACTTTAAGAACATTACGAACTACACTTAAATTCTATATTTCTAAGACTGGGAAATGGATAGAATGTCAGAATCCAATGGTGATACCAGAATGTACAAATCTGTTTTAGAGGAGAAATGAAAGGGAAAAGACCATGCTGCACTCAGAACTAGTACAGCCAGTACAGCATGAATGGGAGAAAAAGCAGGTGTTACATAGTAAATGACCACAACACATGCCCTGATTTCTGGAACGTGCTGCACCAAGCAGGTGTAATGGCATGTGGGAAAGCGGAAGCAGGTAGGAGAGGGGGGCCAACATCTTGCTTAGCCCCCTGATGAACCTATCTGTCCTTTTTCTGTCTCTGAACACTCAAAAAGAGCTTATTATGGCCACTCAGAGTCTACAAATGCCAGCTGAGAAAGATCTAGGTCTTCCAACTTTTGTGGAGCTATTCCCATGCAAGCTCCCACAGAATTGCTGGAAGTGAAACTGGTTAGAATCAGCGAAGATATAAAGCAATGGAAATTACAGACAGCCACACAGTGGCTATCTGCAATTCAGTAGTTCCACAGTGTGAGCTACCTAATTCCTGTTGTTCACTACTTTTTCTTGAACTAGACTGAAGAAATTTTGTATATTTGGGAATATCCTCATTTTGCTTAATAAAATCTTGGAGCCTCAAAACCTGGATTGGCAGGAAAAAACCAAAGAAATGGATGACAAATTCTCGTGGTGAAAACATGACCGTTCACCCATAATCTCCCAGAACGGACAATCACAAATAATTTCATTGTTCTTCTGAAAAAGGTACCAAATGCAATGATATACACTTGGGGTAGAAAAATAAATGCAGAACTGAGCATCATCAAAACTTTTCACTAGGGAACTGATTTCAGTTCTGTTAAAGCAGTTGTTTTACAGCTTATCCATGAGATAAAAGTTTCAAAATGTTCACAGGCAAAAACTTCACATGATCACACTGAAGAAAAGGAAATATCCTCTGTGTAACATTTTAAAGCAAATAGCATTTGCTGAAAAGAACTGAACAACACAAAAGGGGAACACCTGGGAGGGAGAAAACGTGTATTCACAGTTGTCAGAAATTTTAAAGGTGAACTGTTTACCTGGGTAAATAATTGCCTTGTAGGGTTCTGCTTTTGTTTTGGCAGAAAATTATTTATCCAACCTGTTATGGCTTTTCAAATAATGACACTTTCCCATATAAATATTTTGGTAGATGTACTAATCTGGAAAATTTGCATCACTTGGCCTGCAACCGACTATACATTACAGCTGTTACAGGTGGATAATCTAATACTAACACAACTCAGGTATTTATTTCCAGATTAATCCATGTCCACAAATTTGCATTATGACTTGGGTGTAACCAGAGTGGGGAACAGTACATAAGCTATGACATCCTCAGAGCTACTTTGGAGTCACAATGCTTTCTCTACGTCATTCCTGATCTTGAGAACATAGAGGGAGGCATACCTAACTACTAATATATACTAAATTATTGCACATTCCAATCTGCTTCAGTTACCACCCTTACCGTCAAGCAGGCAGAACAGAAACAATGATCTGTTTGACCTTTTTTCCATTCAGTTCTCTTGCTCAAGGGACCAAGACAGCAGGCCCTTTTACACACACACAAAAAAATAATCAGAAAGTCAACAAGAGCTGTAAGGAAGATTGTAATCTTACTTAGCCCTGTATACAGATGAACAGTCAGAGTCACCATCCAACCCTGATATAGCCATAGTATATCTCAAAAGAGTGATATATGAAATTTATCAAAATAAATAGGCTTGTCAAAATCTTCATAGATGTTCAGGAGCCGTAATTTCTGTTATTTCTATCTAGAGTCCTTGCATATTTTCTTGAGTGATAGTTGCAGCAAATACGATTAAAATCTAATCAAGAATCTCTCAGATGAGAGGAAAAATGAAGAGACCTTTTATTACTGGGTTACGTTTATGCCCAGTTTACCTCAAGTGAAGAGTTTTGAAGTTTCCCAGTTAGGACTTCTTTTTCTTTCTCTAGTTGCTTTAGTTCACACTCAGATTTTCTTTTAAATTCCTCTAGCTGTGTCTGGAGCTCCTAAAGTAAAGAGCCTAAAAAAAAAAAAAAAAAAAAAAAAAAAAAAAGAGAAAAAAAGAAAAGAGCATGCTGGGACAAAACATGCAACATGAAAAAGAAAGAACATTTCTTCTACGTTAACCTAGATAATAGAGCAGTTTACACAATAATACATGCTACTGTCTTTTAATGTCACTCGTATTATTCAATCAAAGAAGTATTAACAGTTTGGTTTGGTTCTTTCTAATACTAGTGTTAGACAGCTCACATAATCCTGATCTTCTACTGAAAGCTTCCCTGAGGTGGAAAACTGTACAGCATGAAGAGTCAGACTGTTTTGCCTTGAGTGGTGTTAGTGTTCAAAAATAATTTAGTATGCAAGAGTCACCCACAAGATCTGAAAAAACATAAATATACATTGACCATATAAATAACCAGATGACTAACTACTGGGCAATTAGTGGAAAAGGGAGTCAAAGGAAGCACTATCTTATAGCATCCATAAAGAAAATCCCAGTGAGGAAGTAAAAATAAAATAAAATAAAAAATTGAAGACTATATTATCACCTTATTGCTGGAAATAGTTTTTGAAAAATCAACGATAATACCACTTGCAAGACAGTGACCAAAAGCTTGTAGCAATCGTTTGTACCATGTGTGAGCAATCATTTAGTGTAGAAAGACTGAATGTGCAACTTCTAGAAATGTCCTGAAGTGATATATATTACAAGCTTATTAGTGTGCTTGTTCTTCCTATTTGTGCCAATTTGCTGACTCAAAAAAATATTCTACCATATTTTCAGACACCACAAATGGAAGAAACAGAGAAAAAATAGCAATTTAACACGTCCCCCATCCTGTACAGCCCCTTCTCACAGCCCCCCGCCCACACCCTTTTTTATAGCACAATGACTTAAGAATTCAAGATAACAGGAAAAGTACCTAAAAACTAAGAAAGTGATAACCATTGGGAAGATGGCATGATATTAGGCAAGAGAAGCACAGGCAATAGTGACGTATTCCTTGCAACTCATAATTAAATAAAGCAGAATACATTAGTATTTCACAGTTTAAAAACAGGATAACTGTTAGGTAGCAATTAAAGGATGGAATCAAACACAGAGACATGAATATTGAAAGGGAGAAATTAGCTTTAGTTTTTCCTGTAAGAAAAGGAGAGGATATAATGGTCTTTTTGATTAAAACCTGAAGATCAGGTGTTTGCAGCACTCCCACTGCAACTCTGCCAACTGACTTCCTTCTCTGTATCTTAATTTTTCTATCTGGAAAATAGGTATAATACTTCTCAAACAGCTGTTACAGGCCTTAATTGCATCAGAGGATACAAATAGCATTCGCAATGAAAACTATTGTAATTTTATTTAAGTTCTACTAAATCAAGATTTTTCTGATTTAATATGAATCCCTAAGAAGAGATGGTTATAAGCAATAATATTTATTGCCTATAAGCAATAAATGCCTACTATTATGCCTTTTTTACTAAAGTATAAAGTGTTTGATATTTAAGTTTGATCTGACTCACATGAAGAGCTTCAGCCTGGCATCATTTTAAGTTTACCTGTACAAACTCTTTCACATGAAAGAATACACTGTATAAAAGGCACAGTCCTTTTCATAAGGCTTATACTTGACAGTGTAACTGCGTACCTTGAAGAACTGCATCTTCACATACTGATCAAACGTGACCACTTTCACAATCAGATAAAATAATTTACTCACACAAGTACGTTTTGAAAAATGAGATTGCATAAATGTATAAACTTCAGCAGTTTCATAGGCAGAAATGAATTCTTCTGACGAGCACTTAACACAATTCCTAGCTTCCAAAATCTAGAAGGTACTATGAAGCTCAACATTTAGTGACAGGAGCTGCATGCTTTTTATGACTTCACAACTTGTCAGCAAGCAATTTGATTATTCTCAAGTAAACGTTGAACTCGGAAAGGTATAGCAGCATTAAAACCGGGAAAAATGGGTAGAAGTACATTCTTAGCACCAAGAAGGGTCTAAAGAACACTTGACCAGTAGTCTGATTGTCCAGCTCTACAAACTGCTCTAACAAATTTTTTTTCTGTCTAGAAGATATCTGACAAACACACAGGTACATTAGGAGACAGAAACTAAACAACTCCTTAGTTTATGCTCAAATTTGGCAAACCACTTGGGCATGCACTGAGTTGTAAGCTTCACTAAGCATTAAAGTATGTGCTTAAAACTAAACATGTGTTTCAAGGTTTTCCTCCATTTGAATAGATTTCAGCTCACATTTAGGTTCCTACTGCACAGAAACATTACAGATGATTGCAAATTTCCTGAAGCCAAAGGATTCAGCCATAGACAGCAGTTCTCATGAAGGTGAAATTCTGTGAAGAATCTCTTAAGCCAATTGCTGCTAACGCATACCGACAACAAAAATTACAGCTCAGCCACTTAAAAAACATTGAGAAAAGGTATTACTCAGGTAACCTGTCTGGATCCATGAGAAGATGAGCATTCTTCCTGACTGAAGTTAAATAAGGACATATATATGCATGTATCTCTTAGCAATTAGTCGTCATTTCATTCATAACACCTGCACTCTGAATCATTTACCAACACTTTGCAGAATTAGACTCTTTGCCTAAACAATGCAAAATTTTTATTAAATCGATGTATTTGAGTATTTCACAGCGGCAATCCATGGAAATTTGAGTCAGAAATTGGAATACACCTACAATACCTTTTTCTTCAGGAGGGACCTTATATTAATCACTCCAGCTGTCACATGCGAAGCACACAAGAATAAGTGTTGCTAGGAGGGCAGTTTATCACATCAAGGATAAATTCACCTTCCTGCCTGTAGTGCTTTTCACAGAAATACACCAGCTTGACTTTTTTTTCCCTTTTTTTTTTCAGTAAGACCATAGCGAGAAAATCCTTGCGTTTTATGTTAATTTGAAGTGCCTCCAGTGAGGATAATTCAAATGATGTCACTGTGACCAATAAGATTAAAACCAGATGAATTAGAGCATCTATAAATAGAAGAACATTCCTACCTTCTGCATTTTTTTTCTTTCTTTCAGCTTCCATGAAGTTTTAGACTGGCTTGATTTCCTTTGTATGCTTCATTACAAGATCTTCCAGCCCTTTTAACAGCTATTCCTTCAGACAAATCTTTTCCTTATGGGACTGATGCTTTCCTTTACAAAGCAAGTTCTCTGTGTCTGTTATTCATACCCTCTTTTTAAATAGCTACAGTTTCCATAGTCCATAAAACACACTAGCTATATAACATGACAAAACCAGGGTAGAATTCTGGGGTCGCAGTAGTCTATTTTGTAGGGAATATGCTATTTAGGTCGATATAAGCCATTGAAAAATACTGGCTTTATGTTAGTTAACAATGTAGAACTGTAGTGATTCAGGGCTGTATGCTTCTTCTGCAGTCTAGGGATGGGGGTTTTTTTGCTGTTCTGGTTTGAGTTTGGGTGTGTGACTCACTTCCAACCATGCAGGCTTCCTCAAGGACAACCTTAGTTCTGTGAAAAAGCACAAAGGACAGTTTGGTTTTTGTTATGTCTCTGATGCCAGGTCTAATTTTCCAGAATGCTAGCACAACAATATTCTAGGAGAAATGAAAAAATATAGAAAAGATTTGGAGCTGGACAATTGCTTAAGGGGAGACATTGTACAGAGGGAACTCTCAGGATACATACATTCCCCATTGTACTGAGTTTATTCCTGGTATTATTTCTGCATAGCTTTTCAGAAGAACTGTTTTCTGTATTTAAAAAAAATAAATCAGTATACCAACTTGACCTCAACAGAGAAAGTCTGCCTTGGACCTTGTTCTCTTTAAGGTTTTGGTTACAGAAGAAGTTGAAGACACTGCTCTGGTCTAGCTCAAGGATGTCAGTAATTTCTTTGCTGTCATTGCAGCAACTCATGTACTTCAGGTTATGAACACGAATCAGTGTTCCACTGCATGAGGTCAGAGATCTGGGAATCTTACAGGACTGTCTGCTGTAGATAACCCAAAAGCCATTAATCTTAAACAAAAAATGACATTGATTTCAGTACTTTTGGCATGCCATGCCTTTGAATATTTGAAAGCAAAACACCTGTTGAAGCTTTTGCACATCTTCAGAGCCGCTCTTGTTCTGGCTCTGGTCTAAGTCATTTGCTGCAGCTGTTATTTGGTATTTCAGTTCATCTGTGTTATTAATAGCTTTGCTTTGGGAATTCAAGATAGTTTCCATATCTTATGTGGTATCAAAATTTACATTTCAAATAGCATAACTAACTTGTGGAATTTCCAATGTGAGTGACTACTAACAAGGAAAAGACTTCAGAATGACATTAATTAGCATCTTACGTGCTTTTTGCAGGATTTCCTTCTCTTGAAGTGTATTTCTCTCTTTGACTACGCTTAGATCTTCCTCCACTTTTTTCACTATACCTTTTGATCCCAGAATTTCTTGTTGTGTTCCCTTAAGCTACACTTCCAAATCCTAAAATATGCATGACATCACTTCTACGTTTATTACATATGTTCTTTTTTTTGCCATCTGAAATAAATGGTCATTTTCTCTCTTGGCACAGTTCCATGATATAAATCTTTCACCTACAGAGCTAGTTTAAATGCATTTTTTGCTGTTCCATACCCTTAAACTGTCTCTGCTGCCAGAATATTTGTAAGGTGGAGCCATTCCCTCAGATGTAGGCATCATTGTAAAGTGAAGACTCATCAAGAGTTACCATCTAAAAGATGTCTGAGATTATCCTAAACTTGGAACAGGATATAATTCCATTAATCTCATGACAACTTGTGCTAAAAATTAATGAATGTTAGTTCGGGTTTTTTTCCAGTTGCTGAAGTACAATAGTTTGTAACATAATCCATAATACAGATGCCTAAAACCAGAAAAATCGTCTCCTACAGACTTTGCTGGGAATTGTCTGTCCATAACTAAAGGCAAAAATTTGAACCATATTTAATGTTTTGTTTTTGAAAGTTCTAGTCTCAGTTTCCAGATGTTTAACATACTACTACAATATTCACTCAAACAAAATTACCTTTTGTTCCTATCTGAATGTTGAGTAAAACCTCATGGGTTAAAACTAACTTGTATTTAACACTCTCTGTAGTTGAAAACTTAAAGGTAAGCTTCTTCCTTTTACTTCTGGCATATGCCAAAATTCTTCCAAAACTAGACTGAACAGATCAGACTTAATGACTTGTCATACTTTGCATTCTCTCTTCCACGGTAATAACAACAAACGTGCACTAATGTGATGCATTTCATCTAAAGGTCTCAAACCTCTTGGCATACACTAAGGAGAAAACAGAAAATTCATCTTGCTTAAACATCAGTCCTTTTATCTTTCAAGCCTTGTAGTAGCTTTTCTTGCTAATATTTACTAATGATCAGAGGTGTTACTGATTAAAGAAATGTTTCTGTTTCTCACTCTGCCATTGTCCACAGGATTCTAAAAATATGTATTTAATGGTGGCATCAGAAATAGGCAATTTAGAAAGGAGGAACTTCCACTTTTTTATTTAAGCTGGAAAGACACAGAAAATAACATTGTGTCTAACTGTTTTCCTTCTTCCAGATTTATCCTAGTCTGAGGCTATCTCTTTAAAGATTCAAGGCAATATGCTCCAGTGGTACGTAAATCAGCCTCATGGAGTTAAGAGGATCTGAAATGTACAAGTTGAGCATATGTCCCTCAGAAAATATTTGTTTTATCCAGCTGATACTGAATTTAGAAATTAAATTGCTAATGACACCACCTTCTTATTTCTAGTTCTTATTGTGTTTTACATTATTTATTCCTAAAAGACTGCATTTCTTATACGATACATCAAAACAGTAAACCACGAGCATAAATTTCCACATCTCCATTCTTCATTTCTCCTCAATGTTACTTCAAGTACTCACAAGAAATCAGGATCTTTCTTTCCCTCTTCCCCTCCATTGCTTCAAACTTCTACAGAGCCAGGACACTTTTCCTTATTGAAACTGATATTCCGGATTTCCATGACTCAATTAAAAAAAAATGGCTTATTCGCATCTCTGCCATGCGTTATATCCTCTCCACTTTTCTGCAGAAGACGGAGGTTGTTCTGCTACATATCTACACACTGAGAGAATGGAGTCTGAATAATGTTGGGGAAGGTGTATTCAATTCACCCTCTGATCTTGTGAAACAAAAAGGCAGCGACTGTATTGAAGGCTGAACTCCCTCAAAGAAGAGACCCAGAACTCTGCACCATCAGCAAAATGACACCGACAGGCAAGATGTGAGGGCAGATGGTGAAAAGGGTCAGAGTTGTCTTGGAGGAACACAGCTGACTGGGGTGACCCTGCTCTCTACAGGATTCTGGGGTCTCTGACTCTAAAGGAGATAAATCTTCTTTCCCATCAGGATACAATTATTGTTATTCTGAAATACTCCAAGTCTAGACCTTCAAGGTGTTTTCTTATCTAATATGCAAGATCGCTGTCATAGGGCTGGGGACAGGTCTGCAGGTGAGTTTATGTGATGGGAAGGACCAATAGTATTAGAAGGAAGTAGAACTGTTGAGCACAGAGCGTGGCTGGGTGCTTCGGCATCAGTGCAGTTCATCAGTGTCTCTCCCACACCCTGACCTTATGTATCAAATGCAGCTGGTTGGCATGCAGATTGCCCATGATGTGCCAACCTCTGAAACCGCATCTGACACATGATGCAATCAAGCAGAAAGGGGCTGCAGAGCTGTGCTGCAAACGTATGAGAGATACACCAGCTAGGGTAGACTGGCAAAGTGTGAGGTGAGAACTAATAGTGAACGTCTCATGGCTCAGCACATAAAACTTCACAGGTGTAAAGGACACTTCATTAAATGTCACTTGGTACAAGCCACTGTTGCAAGAGTCAGACAATACAAAGCACTTGATTCCTAACCTGCCAGCTCAGGTCTCTTATTTAACCCTGTTCATATCCGTGCACTGAGCTGTTGGCAACCAAAAAGGGAAAAGGAGAATGTACTCTGTAAATAGTCACTTGCTAGCATTAGTGCCAGCTTGCTGTTCTCTTCACATTTCTGGGCAGGAAAGGTAAAGCTCTGTTCAGTCAAGAGATAAATTTTACCTCACTCCTCCCCCAGGGAATACAAAGTCTAGTGTTCAAAGAGTTCTCCTAATGAGTTACTAATCATTTACCTCTTTCTTTAAAACTGTCAGCACTATATCCCTCCTATTTCTCTTCTAAGCCTCTAAAACTGCTTTAGGGCTTACAAAGCATTTGATTCAGTATGATATTTAAAAGACCTCTCCTCCCCCAAATTTTGAAGAATTGATAATTTGCACTTTTATAGGCAGAGATAAGGATCACAGTCTCATACTCTACCTGTATTCTCTCCTTCAGCTTCTGGGAATGCTTCTTCCTCTCATTTATCTTCTGGCTTTTCTCCTCTAGGTCTGCCTCCAGCTTCTTTACCTGCTGCAGCAAAAAGCCTTCCTCAGGCTCTGAGCTCTTCCTTTGCTCCAGTTCTCTTTGCCAACAATTCTTCTCTGTTTCTATCACAGATTGCTGCATAGCATTTTTCAAATCCTCTTTTTCTCTCTCATAAGAGGCTTGCAGTTTGCTTGTTTTCTGAGTATATTCTTCAGTTACTCTCTGGCTCTCACTCTTCAGGTTTTCCATCTCATTTATTAGAGCTTGTCCTTCCACACTGTATTTTTCAGCTAAAATTACTTTTTTATCTAAATTTGCTCTCCTAGATGCTTTGTATTCATTTAGCAGTCCATCAGACTCCTGATTTAAATGTAGAAGCTTGTTTTCAAAGTCTGCATTGGTATCTACCGTGTCTGTAGAAAGGACAGTCTGCGCTTGTTTCACTTCCGTTCTCGGCTCCCTCTCTTCCACCTGCTTCTTGCACAACGTTAACTCTGCCAAGGCTTCTTCCTTTAGTCTCTTGTGTTGTTCTACTGCAATTTCAAGGGCCTGAATACGTTTTCTTAGCAATTGTTCTTCTTCAACTTTGCTTTTACACTGGAGAATCGTTTCCCTTGTCTCAGCAAGAATGTGCTGAATTTCTTTTTCATGAGCCTCTCCCAGAGCCTGTATACTAGCCTCATGTTCATCATTCTTAGTGTTCAGGGCATATATCACCTATAGAACAAGAAAAATAATAGGAAATCAAAGTATCTGGTAAATGGTAGTAATGAATTCAGTTACTATATTTATCAAGGTGTTAAATGCTAAAAGAGAATTACTGCTACAGTTTAATCTTTTGTTGTTGTTGTTTCTATGTGGTGGGGTTTTTTTTTCACTAGGAACAGAAGGGACAATTATAAACTGCAAAACCTCACAGGGAAGGAAGACAATACTGTGAGAAACAATATTTTTTTTCACTTTTTGTCAGAAATGTCCTTTTTTATTCTTGGCAAGTTGTCACTTCATGCCCCTAGTTTGATCTTTGATACAATGAATGAAATAGGGCCCCTTCTCTAGCTAACTGACTCCATATTTGTAGTTCAGTTCACCTAGCCTTCAGTGCAGGAGTACTACCTGCCACATTGCCTTTAGCGTTAGCAAGTGCTGGGGACCAGTAGTAACAGATCTGCAGAGTGAAACCTGAAGTCCTGACATCCAGTTCATGGACTAAACTCACTCTGGGATGTAAATTAAAGGAAAGTTTGTAAGGAGGATTAAATTTTGCACTCTTGGCTTAAACTGAAACACCACGGAACATGCACTCCTGGAAGCTGTATGCCTTGCAGGTTAGCTTGATCAGCATTTCAAGATAGGTATTACTCGACTGCAAGCACCTTTTGGCTTGATTCTGAGAAGTGTTCAGGGAGTGGGTTTTTTTTCCTCCTTTCAGTAACAGCTATAAATCTCAGAAATCAGGTTTTAGCAGATTTGAGCAAGCCTCTGATGATGATAAGCAATTTTTCAAATGATTTAAACCTTTTGATGTTTTATTTTCTTTTACAAAATGCAGAATAATAATTCTCATGACTATAAGACAAATTATTACCCCAAGCAGGCTTCATCTGTTACCCATGACATACACCAAAGACCTCTCACAGAAGCTGTTGTACAAGCACGCTACTATTTTTTGAAAAGAAAATTCTATTAGAAGCCCACAGTAGACTGAAATGAAGAGTTCAGACTCAAAACTGGTAAATGTGCATATGAAGCTTAGAAGACAGTTATATAGAATTGCAAAATATAGTAACTGCCTTGAAAAGACACATGCTTGTCTTTTCAAGGCCCCCATTAGGACACATGGGGCCTAATCCAGTTTCTACTGAGCATAGTTATCTAACTCAAGGGGAACAACACATTATGTATTAACATGTATGTGGAGGTTTTCCACTTGTTTGGTTGGTTGGGGTTTTTTTTAGAGAGAACTTATTGCTCTACAAAACTAGGTTGGAATTTGTATACAAGTTATGACAGATACTTTCAGTCTGGCCTGAGCCCATAGAGGTTAATCAAAAGATTCCTAGACAATGTTTGAGAAAATAATAGTCATAAGCACATAAATAAATACAGAAGCAAGGTCACAACTAATTCTTTAATTATACTAGAATTTTGGCCCTGTAATCTTCAATATTTCCTCAGGGAAAGCCTCAATTGAGAGACCAATAGGCATCTTGACCACAATAAGTGTCACAAGTCTGTAGTCTGTGTTGTACAAGCCCTGAGGATGTCTGCAGAATTATTGAATTTGCTTAGCTATGCCTAACCATTTTGTGTGCTATCTGTATATGAATAACATATTGAATTTCAGTCATCCATAAATGAAAGCTAACACACAAATACATCTTGCGTGTAGTCAACTTCCTCCCTGGCAGTAATGAATTAAGTACAGAAATCTTAAAAAGTCACAAATGCAAAACATGGTCTGGATACATTTCTGGATAAATATGTGACAAAAGAGAGTAACAGCACCATATTCCAGAAGACAAACAGACAAGAAGTTATTGTCTACATTTAGGTATGTATATTTTTGGGCCTTAGATTACATGCTGTTAACTCTTCTCTGTTATTTTTAACCATTTTTCCTTTGAAACAGAAGTAGTTGCAGGATACCAAGCAGATTCCTTCTCCCCACTAAAATCGTTCTATGAACCTTTCTTAACTGTTCAGGAGACAGACATCCAAAATTACAAGGAGAAGATTAATTTTGCCCACAGGTTTAGAATGACCAGTAATTAGTTTGGGCAACTCTTCAATTAACTAGGTCAGATGTCGATGATCACATTTCTGTGTTCCATTCCACCAGCAAAACAGAGATGAGCATCCGGACTTCGTGACTCAGACTTGCATTCTTAATGATTAATTTATCTAGTAAATCAGCACTGCCTGTCTCATACCACATTGTGCTCAGGCTGACGGTGGAATCTGGGTTCCTTTACAGTCTGACTTCATCATAGAGATTTCCCAAATTCCACTGAGCATTAGACGATCACCAACATCTTGAGTTATCTAAAAGAATGGAAGAAACTGGCCTCCCTGCTGTATCTATTATTCCTACACTTCTGTTCAATAGTGGCTAGAACCACAATGAAGAATTTTGACTTGAAAATGCATGCCCTTAAATTTAATCTTCAAGCTTGAGTGCTGAAACTGATTCCTCAGTATCTTAACCTTCTTAAGAGATTTAATTTTTAGAGGGCTGCTGCTCTGTACTTTATGAAATTTAAGCCCCTCACTCATGCCTTTCACTCCCTACTGAGTATAGCTACTATATTCCTATTCCAGATAACTTCAGTCTCTTAAATGAGGTATGTGACATGAATCTGGGACTTTATGTGCTAGAAGGAAAAATACTGAAAAATTACTTCAGCATCTGTACTTTGTGAGTGTACATACTGCTGACTAATGTATAAACCTCTTAACAGTTGTGTTGATAAACAGCTTTTTAAAAACAGCTCTAAAATTGATCAGTTTGACAATACAGACAAAATTGCTTTCAAATGAAAAGCGCGCTACATTACTCTCTGAGTTACTAGCATAATACCAATGGCTACTGCCTCCTTACAGTTCTCCAAAACTGAATGTATTGGGAAACATTGTACTGATTTTACAGCAACTGAGAGTTATATGACAGGTTGGTAAAAACACTATTACACATACATTTGAACATTAACAGTGCAGTGAATATGAATACATCTTATTAGTCCTATTTTATCCTCCAAATGCTGTAAATCTAAATAGCATTTCCCTTTTCCTTTTCTTTATGGTGATGTAAAAGAACAAAAAAGAAAACATTCAACTGCACCTCATCAATGAAAACAAAGCTAAAGCATTCAGAACAAAAAAGACTGTTCCATCTTCCTACAGTAGTGTTAAACACTACTTTTGTAGGAACCTGACTATCATAATGAAAAAATGGTTCTAGCAGGTTGCTTTACTAGCTGAGTAAGAAGTGAGACAGTTTGGTATGGAAGGTGAGAAGTGTGGATGATAAGAAGAATCAAAGAAAGGCAAAAGATCGTAAGTGTTCTTCCTTCAGGCCCAAGCTAGTGGGCACAAATCCTTCCTGATGGAGAAAGGGCTAAAAGAAAAAAATAGAAACACAAGAATGAGAAAAGGCCTGGGAGGGGGGTGCCAAACAGGGTACTCCTGGCAGCACCCTAAACAAAGCAGGGAAGGAGACAAGTTTTGATTGCTGATTAGTTCGCTAGAGGCTCACCAAGGCCAAACGACTGCGCAATCTCCTTTTCACTAGTAGCACTAGTATCTTCTCTTCACTAGCAGGTGAATTTGTTTCTGTGAATTCTGTCTTGTCTGCTTCCCAAGCAGACCAGAGCAGAGTGAGGTATCTAAACATGTCAGCCTTAAAAGGGTCTCTTTTAAAGCAAAGGACAGAGAAATTATTAAAAGTTCAGTTATTGAAAGAAATGGCTCTGTATCCCTTAGCCTCCCCTGTCACTGTAACTATACAGATTAGAAAATAAAAACAACTCCCACAATTTTTTAATTAATACTCTAACAAGTATCTTCTGTTCTTTCTAACGCTGAATAAGGAAGAATGTCTTTTAATTAAGGTACAGGCCTAGGCTATGATTAGCTACATTGCTGATCCAATTTTACACCTATGCTGATTTCAACTGAATGATACCACTGTAACATATGATCAGGGACCTCATGAGCTAAGTCTCATATCTCTCCTTGTGTCCTCTGTGGTGTCCTGAAGGCACAAGAATAATTTTATGTGTCCAAATAGTTGCAGCAACTGTTGATAACATTACCCATTTACGTGTTTATATGAGAGAAGCGTTAAAAAAATTGGCACTCCAAACATCCAGAAGTGTTTCAGAACCTAAAATTACAAAAAAATCTTTAAAATCATGAGGAATTTTGTTTATATTTTTAAGGTTTTTTTTTTAAATTTGCCTTATGATTTTTTAGTCTCCCAGGTGTGCCTTCAGCACCCTGCAAAAACACAAGCTAAAGTAATTTATTTTTCTCTGAAATGAAAGCTCAGCTCAGCTGAAATAACTTTGTTTTCAAAAGCTGGAGTTGTGGGGAGAAATACCAACTTTCTTTTGTGAGCTTTCAGATTACATAGCCTACTACCATCCCATTCATTAGAAAAATGCTGTAGAATACATTTTTTTATAAGAAATATATACAGTTCATGGTTCATTTATCCACTCACTGTGACAGTACATTAAAATTACCTTGAATCAACACAGACCAACAGAGTCTTGACTGTCACCTATAAAACAAGAAAAATACCTTATTTCAAGCCTTTCACTGTCAGCAAGTTATCGAAAATATTTTTCCAAAATTTCCCAAACCTCAAACTTCTATCTATCCATGCCTAGTGGGCATGGATAACAAAATAACAAAGTCAGAGATGCAAAGAGTTAGGGCCAATTTATGTTCAATGGAGTTCATGAGTTCAAAGTCAGAGCTGAGAACCCAGCTAAAGCTCACAGTGCCAGCCTCTCACTGAAAACAGTATGTCTGCTTTTAGCTCTGGAAACTATAACCAGAAACTAATGAGCTTTGAGAAAAGCCAGATCAGATGTTCCAGCATCATGCTGCAAACACATGCAACTGGTTTGACATGGCCTTAGCTGAAGTTCAGGAAGCTCTATTTGCTCTCACCTGTGTTGGCCACAACAACCCAAGCTGGTTTCCACAGC